TAGCACCTGTTTGCTGCTCTGGAGAATGCAGGTGTGTGTTAGCACAATGCCAGGATGGAAAGAAATCAGCAATGACCTTAAAGAAGCAGCTGCTGCTGCCTGTCAGCCTGGGAAGGGTTAAAGGTCTCTTCCTAACAATCTGAMGTTTATCCTCATAGTGACACGAGATTATTCACAAGAGGAAAACATTTCAAATTGATGCCAGTCTTCCTAGTAGGGAACGCCCCAGCAAATTCACCCCAGCATCAGACCGTGCAATGCTCAGAGAAAGATCAAGAAACCCAGGCGCTCCCTTAACTCAGACCCTACCGGCCTCAGTTAGCAGGTTAAAGTTCATGACAGGGAGGGGCGGAGCCAGGATGTGGCCATGGCCTCCATGGAAAAAATATTTGGCCATCCCCAAACACCAGCTCGATTTATGTGAAGCTATTTCTAAATGCTGTTCATTTCAMCTGCACTGCTCAAATAGATMWTTCTCATTATGTCACTCCACATGATAGTCACTTAAGGAAACGAGATRATTACGATTAGATAATTATTTATAATTGAATTTGTATTGCACTTTACATTTTTCAGAAATGATGCAATTTAAAAATATCTCTAAAAAATAAGCAAGAACTAAAAGCAACAAAAATATAACTTCTTCAAAACACTATCTAATCTGGGACACCCCTATGTGACCAGTGGTCCCAGTCTGGCTACTCCAAAAGAAATCATCCGGCCCSGCCATGACAGGACAATTTAAAACATGGAACAAGTCCCAGACAGCAAAACATGTTAACTCAATGTTGAATTATGATCAAAAATTTGATTTTTGGTTAAGGTCAATGATTGATGGTGAATCAAACATCAAACAATCATCCAACTCTAGCCAAATAACCAATGTTGAAAAGATGTTGTTTGAATCAATGTTGTTTAATTCTAATTACTGAAATACCAACATCTAATCAAYGTTGAATCAACACTGATATCAGTTATGGTTGAAAACCTAACATTGTTTCAACAAGTAAGTCACACTGATCACTTTTTGTATCATTTCAACATGGATTCACTCATATTTTGTTATCTGAGGTTTGGCGTGTTTGAAAGAGCTGAAGAAGAAAACCTTTTCTGAAAAAAATAAAAGATTTCGATTTCGATTTGCAAAGCAGCATCTGAATGAATTTCAARACTGATATAACCAAAGTACAGATATTTATCCATAACGCACAGCAGCATGTTTTACTGAAAACCAAACACAGCACAGGTGCACAAACACCTCACTGTCAGCATGAAGGAGGGTTGATGGTGTGGGACCTGAGAGTCTTTGAGTCAAAAGTGAGGCCATCAGAACTATGGTCCAGAACAGAGCAGTAGATTTATAACAGAATGGCTTCAAAAGAAAAGAATCAGGTAAGGAATGGTCCAGTCAAAGTCCAAACCTCAGCTGAACGTCTGCAAACCTCAATGACCTGAAACAGTGTATAAAAAGAGTGGGCCAAAGTTCCTCCACAAAACAGAAAAAAAAACTTATTGCTGCTAAATGAGCTCTTAGTTTTAAACAGAATTTATGAGCTTCATTGTTGTTTCATAATCAGAGGTGGAATCTGTCATTCTGAGGACAGCTGAGGTCAAAACGGATTCATTCAAGGAGCAAATCATTTATTGTCCTGACAGAAATGAAGGAGGGTGGACTTTTTTTTTTCCTTCCAGGAAAATCAAAATATCTAAAGCCTTGGGTGCAGAGTGTAATTGTAAAGTTTAATACTGAAATTAAAAGAAAAAGCAGGTCAAAGCTCCCCCCCTGGTGCTGATAATAAAAGACTGGCTCTGCTCAGACATCTGATGGTCGGACTTATTTGTACAGCAGGGCTCTTTGGGTTGGTGAGCTGGGTGGGAGCTCCAGAGCAGACTGAAGTTCTGCCGTGGTAATAAACGGGTTCCCTTTAAATAATTACAGGATTTTCTTTCGTGCTTTTTGTAGCGGAGGAGTGCGCACTTACCTGTGAACTCAACATCCAGAAATAGGAGCTGAACAAATGTGCGCGCTCTCTCTCTCCATGTCTCTCTCTCTCTCGGTCACATTAAACGTCACACAGTAACTAAAGTTAAAAGTTAAACCCGTGGTGTGTGTGTGTGTGTGTGTGTGTGTGTGTGTGTGTGTGTGGGGGGGGGGGGGGGGGAGTTGAATATCTTACCTTTGAGTTCTTGGTTTGCTCTGCTGCTGCCGCTGTGTCTCGGAAAAAAACAGCCCCCAAACTTGCGGGGATGTTACCGCCGCATTCTCCCCAGCGAGTTTTGCGCGTCGGAGCCGGATCCTCTCTGCGTGTTTTTACGCAGAAAAATTAAAAGAAAAGAACCAATCAATCCAAAAGAGCTGAAAATTCCTCTGAGATTAAACAACTAATCAGAACACATTCTTTGGTGGTAACATTTAAAAAAATCTGATTCCTGATTTCTTGTCTCCAAAAGTTAAAAAATCGGGTGTCCATCCCCGGGACGAGGTCTGGGGTTTTGGTCCTCTGACCCGTTAAAGGGACCTCGGTTTGGGACTGAATGAGGACCAGGTGCAGGTGTTGGGAGACTGATCTGTCCTGCTGGCTTCTCCCTTCTGTTCTGCCCCCACACTGCCTTCCCTCTCCTGTTGGCCCACAGCAGCTTTGGACCAAACCTCTCCTACACCATATGGGTGTGATTAACCCTGTCAGCGCCGGTGGACTTTAACACACTGACAGGAASAGAGAGGACTTTATTTTCCTCACTGTCAGCTGTCAGGTCCTGTCTGTGTGGAGATTTTCTGTCTCTGTTTTCCCCTTGGAATCATTAACAGGTGATAGGAACCAAAAAGGTGAAAATCTGTGATCATATTTTGATCATGAACACTACAGTGTGTTTGTGTGTCTTTCAGTGTGTCTGTTAGCTAAATATCTCACGAACCGCTGGGCAGATTTTGATCAATTTTTCTGAAACTAACTATCTGATGCCCATCTACAACTGATTACCTTTGGACTTAATCCGATTTAAGATGGCCGCCACAGCCAATCCAACTCTACAAACACAAAAACACCCATAACTCAGTCAGTTTGACAGACACAGAGCTAAACTTTGGTGTGGTAGTAGGTGATAATCAACCCTAACATATTCCAATCACTGCTTTGTCGTGTAAGATTTTCTTTTAATCTTTCATATTAACTATTACAGTCAAMCCTGTTTGTCTGTTAGTAAAATATCTCATGAACCACCTAAAAGATTTTATTGAAAACCAAAGAAATGAATCACTGGATGCATATCTACAAATCWTTAACTTTTGGGGTCAATTCGATACAAGTTGTCTGCCATATCTAATCAATATTAGCAAACACAAAAATAGCTATAACACACTCAMCTTTAAAGATACAGAGCTAAAGTTGGGTATGGTAGTAGYTGAGAATCATCCCTAACAYATATTTCAAGGGATAATTGACTGATCTAAACTTTGTTTAATTTTTTTTGTAGACAACAGTGTCTGTTGGGGARATGTTAGGAATCATAGGGTGGATTTTGGTTAAACGTGCAACAAAGTGGATTAATTCAACATGGCTGCCACAGCTAATCACCATGGACCAACACARAATTATAATAATGGCTGTAACCTGGTTTTACTAATGTTGAGCTAAAATCTGATGTGGTAGCAGAGTCATTCACAACACGTAATCTGAGCAGAAGGGCTGCATTGTTATTATTTGCAACGACTCTATAATCTCACAACAAAGGATGACTTTAAGCTTAAAACCGTGCCATGAAAGGCAGTGTGGGATWCGCAGTCCTTCATCGAATTCAAGGYCTTTAATTTTATATAAACGTTTTTCTTTGACTCTATCGGGGAAATTCACTCATAAAAGATAAAGAAGTGGGGGCGCCTGTTGGGACTGTGTCACCAGCCAGGTCAGCTGAAAAAAAAGATTCCAGGGATTCCTCCCAGGCTGGCACCAGCGCTCATGACAACAGTGACAAAGCAGCCTAAAGAAGTGGGGGGTGGGCAACTGGATGTAAAAGACACCCAACCTGTTAGCAGAGCCTCTGGGCTGAAATTAAAGCCGTCTTCTGAGCACCTCTCATGGCTCTGTGGAGAGCTGCGATATCATGGGGCCTCTGAAGACACAAAGGCAGAGGGCGAGGCGTGTTCTGAGCAGCAGCCTCACASGACACTAAAACAGGAAAATAAACACAGGAGGTGTGTGAGAGAGTGTGTAAAGTTCAAACCGGCTCCTGTTATCACTCTCCGGACTTATCTTTTAATGGATGTGCTTGGGTTTGAATTATTTCCACACCAGCAGAGAGTGTAGGTCATATCTGAAGCTGGCGTCAGCCAGATATGATGCTGTGTGTGTGTGTGTGTGTGTGTGTGTGTGTGTGTGTGTGTGTGTGTGT